ATCAATAGTTTTGCTGACCCTGCACTAGTTAAACAATGTATAATTAAGTCTATTTTAGAATGTTTGATACTGTTTTTTTTCAACTACTAAAATTACACATTGTAGAGATTTAGGAGAGTCAAAAGAGTACAAGTAGAAATAATAGGAGAATCTTTCAAAGGTGACTACCATTAACACCTGTTTGTTTCCTTCTAGCCTTTTTCCATTGTTGTGATCCTAGTTCTGGTTCAGGGATGGGGGTGCTGGTGATGGAATTTGAAAAGTACAATGGAGAAAATATTCCCCCCACTAAGAATTTAGCACTGTTAACATTTATACATATTTGCTTCCAGGTTATCTATGTGCACGCTTAAAAAAACAGCAAATAATATGCAAGCACTTCGTCTCTTTTTAAAAGGAATATATTGTTAGAATATATTTCTTATTCCATTCCCTATTCCCACCATGGCCCTGTACCCTAACCGAAATAATTACTTTTGCAAGTTTGGTATGTGTTGGTCTAGTATAGTTTTCCTATACTTGTTACCACGGCAAATAGGTAGTATTGCTTTGTTTTAGTTTATTTAAATGGCATCATACTGTAAATATATCATTCTGCAACTCTTGTTTTACTCAGATCTATCCAAGTTGCTACATACTGATCTAGTTCAATACTTTTGGCTGTGTAGGACTCTCAATATATGGATGTACTGCAATGTATCCAATCCCATTGAGAGGGCTGAATCTGGTTCTTGGCTTTTGTTTACAATGCTGCTGCAAATATCCTCATGGGTCATCGGGTTGTCTTGGACATGTATGTTAATATTTTTCTAGGGTTAGGTAGAATTCTTTACTCTGCTTTTTTTTTTCTCTTAAGACATGAATATTCCCATCAGTTTATTACAGTCTCTTCATACACCGATACCTCTTAAATCTAAACTTTGAAACATCTTTAGTTGCCTTAATGGAAAGTTAATACTGGACAAAAAGTTTTTGCATCGGAGTAATTTAAACATCCCATGGCCTCCCTTGATAGTAGTAGGTAAAACATTAAGTTATTTCAACACAAAACATTTAAAAACAAAAATTAGAAGCGTAATTAGTATTTGGAGCAGCTGAAGCAATCAAAGACTGGAATACTCGGATTTTGCATTCTTAGCCCTGTTTTCTAATTCTTGGGAAGTTGCTTAGGTTTTCGGAGACAGCCTCTCAAGCTCCTCACTTGAGGCGGCTCGTCCCTTGCCACTGCTCGGCATCTTTCCCGACTCTTCCTCTTCCTGTACGTACCCTGCTCTATTGTCGGCACTTTGTTCACATGGCAGTTATTTCTTCATGTCTCTGTTTTTATACCCGGAACAAGCACAATGCCTGACATGCAAGTGCTGACCAAATATGTTCTGAATGAATGAGAGAGAACATGTGGAGGCTGGGGTGAGGAGGTGGGGTTGGTGAGAATCCCCTTAGTGGGAGCTTCACTATATTGAAAGTGCAGAACAGAATAAGGGAGTCCTAAAGGGAATTGAGGTGATAAAGATGACAGAAAGACAGATTTGACAGTGGATCTCTGCTTCAGAATCATGTCATATTGTCACATACACAGACTGATTAAATCACTGATTTTAAGTTAGGGGAGAATTTTTCCTTGGAATTTAAATAGCAATGTGTTAAAGTGTGTACTTGTTTTTCTAGGAATAAATTTGAAAAACTTAAATCTCCAACAGATATAGCTATCTTAGAGATTTTTTTCTTTTTAATTCCTTGCCTCATTACTTGGTTGCCCCAATTTTAATCAAAACTGGATTTCCCTGAATGAGTAGACTAAAGTTAAAGGAAATATTTTGGTCACTGTTCTTATGAAATCCTTTGTTGTTTGGAAGCAGTATTCCTTTAGCATTTCAACAGCTTCATTTCATGTTCCAAACACGGCGTAGCTGAATGATAGCAGTAAATGGGCTTCAGAAGTTCAAATGCAGAACCTCCAGATTTAGAGCTTGAACTATAAACCTTTTAGAAGGGGGAGTCAGAGCGAAATTTCAACTTTTATCATGACACTAGTTTTAAACCAGTTAGTATCATAATTTCTTTTGGCCAAGTACCTTCATAGCTCAGAAAACAATTGCTGTAATGATTATTTTGTATAAGAAGCTGCATTGCTTCTGACGTTTGCTTGCTTGTTAATAGATTTCTGATATATTTCAAGTAATTGGAGCTGCCAAGAGAATATGGTCTTATGAGTAACCAAAGATCTAAGGTTGAAAATAATGACTTACGCATATTACCATCTTTTTCCACTACTGAAATATTTATTTCCAATACTGAAGTACTTTAAAACTAATTGTTCTCTGGATACTTTTTGCTGCTAATTAACATCTCTTTTTACAGGATTCATGAATAAAATTTTCCATCCCAACATTGATGAAGCGTAAGTAACTATTTTAAAATGTTTAAATTTTAGGAGCAACGGCTCTTGATTAGGGTCCCCCCCCACCCCCTTCTCTCCATTATTAACAAAGGAAAAAACCCCTCAGTTATCTTTTTGGATTTTATCAGGAGTTAGGACTATATGAATGGTCATGTAAACTATAGACTCCTAGGGATATGATATTCTAAACCACTTTAGTTCAAATTCTACTTTTGTACTACTTAGTTTTTTCCATTATCATGACTGGGCCCTTCATTTTTCTTGATATCCAGCTAATAGTTGTAATGTTCCACATCTCAGTTCTCTTTATATAAACACAATTTAGAGATCTGTTGTCAGTATACAGATTTACTATTTTCAGCCCTTAAAGTATTTCTCAGTTCTTGAGAATAAGGCAAATATGAATGACTGTAGTTTCATTTCAGTTAATGAATTTTAATTACCACTTTCTTCCCTTCTAATATTTTATTAGTGATACTTTAAAATATTCCAATGAACTTGTTTTGTACTTCCAGTGCTATTTAGAATTCAAGATTATTTGGGATGCAGTTTTTATTATGTGTCATGGCACTAAATTTTACTATCTCTCACACACGTGCATATGAGGATTCTCTGAACCCTGTTTGAGTGGGTCGTATGTGTTCATACGTTGTGCCCCCTTGTCCTTTAATATTTCATTGTATCAGTCGTCCTAACAACAAGGATGTTCTCTTATGTAACCACAGTATAGTCATCACATTCAGGAATTTAATATTAATGCAATGCTTTTTATCTAATCTACTGCCATATTCTAGTAATGTACTTTTTAGCACTTTTTTTCTTTTCAGAATCACATATTACATTTAGTTGTCATGTCTCTTTAAACTATATTAACCAGGAACAGTTCCTTAGCCTGCCTTTATCTTTTATAAAATTCACATTTTTGAAGAATATAGACCAGTTATTTTATAGATTGTTACTTAACTTAGGTTTGTCTGATGTTTCCTTATTAGATTCAGGGCATGCACGCACTTCAGGCCAGAAAACCACAAAGTGAGATTGTCTCCTCTTCAGGGTATCATATTCGGAGGCACACAAGGTCTGTCTGCCCCTTGTGTTCTCAGTGTTAATTCTGATCACCTGGTTCAGGTGTTGTCTGGTTTCTCCATTGTATAGTTACAGTTTTTCCTTTTAGTTTGTAAGCAGACGCTTAAGACCTTGCAAATATTCTCCTCTTCATACTTTTTCCTAATTGGGATTCTTTTCTTTTTTTTTAAGGATCTGTTAAAAGTATTTCTTTTGATAAATAAAATTAGTTGCCAGATACATGCAACTAACTTTCTAATTTTTAAAAAAATGCCATTCTTTCCATCTGTTTCAGGTCAGGAACTGTGTGTCTAGATGTAATTAATCAAACTTGGACAGCTCTCTATGGTGAGTTTGGCCATGGAATATTCTTTGGAGATATTGAGACACTGCCTAAAAAAATGTTGTTTAGCTTTGCTTTTCTGGTTTAATATGTTTTGTTGGGAATGGGAAGGGATTTTGAGGGACTGGATGGGAAAGTTTGATCAGTGAAAAAAGTATTTTCTCAAGTACAAACTTCATTTTAGCAGTGGAAGTTTAAAACAGCTTTGTGAGATTCTGAACTTGAGGTACAGTGATACACATATGCAGACACAAACACACATGCAAACATTTTATATGTGTCTGTATTCAGAAGCACACTGTGTATACATATTTGTATGTAAAACCTTTTCATTTTGGAAAAACTCTTAAGAAGGTTCCTCTGAAACAAGAGATGAATGGTGTGGTAAGAGGTTCAGGGGATCATCTGTTTCAAAGGCCAAAACCTCCTTATGAAGTAAAGAGTAATTTAGCCTACATTCAGTGCTGAAATCGACAACTCAGCTCTTACAGTGAGTCAACAAATGAATTGCCCAACTCTGAAAAATACTATGCCAAATATCACAGAGAGATATAAGGAGTATCAGGCCTTCCCTACTTGGGTTTGTAACCTGATTGGGGAGCTGAAAATATTTTAAAATACAGTCATCCGTTGGCATCTGTGGGGGATTGGTTCCATGACCACCCACAGATACCAAAGTCCGCACATACCAATGTCCCTGCGGAACCTGCAGATAAGGAAAGTTGGCCCTCTGAATACTTGAGCAGAACCAGCTGATGTGGAGGGCCAGCTGTGTATACTGGGAAAAACCCACATGTAAGTGGGCTCGTGTCACTTAAACCTGATTGTTCAAGAGTCAACTATATATTTAAAGTTAATTAGGGACACAGCAAAACTGCTTATTCCCCCACGTTTATATCCTCAGGCTTCATAGACTCCCTGTTCCAGTGCCCGTGAGGCTTCCTCTGATTCTCCAGCTGGAAGTAATCTCTGGATACCCTTACATTTTTTATCTTTTTTGTGGCCCACTTTTACTTTCGACCTTGTATTTGTTGTTTATGCCTGTATTTTTTGTGCTACTAGATTATTTCCTTCCTGAAGGGCTGTCAGGTGCATGTCTGATTTGTCTGTAAGTCCTGGGACTCGTAGCACAGTGCTTCTCACCAATATGGCTTCAAAGAATGAGTGGTGCAAGTAACAGTTGCTGAGAGGCACAAGAAAGGGAGGGACAGATCACTTGGCCTGGACGTAACCTTGTTGAAGAGTTCTGAGACCTTTTAATGGTCTAAGGTAGGTAAGCCATCTTAGTCCAGCCACGGTTTGCAAATCACCTTTGCCTGACATCCTTGTATTAGGTTGGTAAATGAGAATCACAGAGCAAGGCTGGTCACCAGCAGCACACAGTTAATCCCCCCACCACCCGCACTTCTGCCGTTGAGGAATTATTTCTTCTACCTCGAATTATCTCCCCTGATCTTTGTATGGCTGGCACCTACTTGTCTCACCTCAAGTATCACTTCTCAGAGAAGCCTCCTTTCATAGCCACTCCATCACACCCCTCCATAGCACAGCACCCTGTTTTAAATAAGCTTTAAAACTGGTATTTATTATTTATCTGTTGTCTTGGATTGTAAGTCCATGAAAGCAGGGACTTTGTCTTATTCGCTGAACACACACCCCAAAACAGTGCTTCATGTATAATAAGGGTTCAACTACTGGTTGTCTTAATGAGAGAATTAATCATGTCCAGTGCTGTTTAACATGAGAGTTTTGGGGAGATGATGGCTTATAAAGAGATGTGAGGGAACAAAAAAGAACATACACTCTGAAGTTGATTAAATGGATTCCTTTTCAGATGGTTTTTTTGGTAAAAATGTCTGATGGCAGGCTGCCTGGAATATCTGATGTAATGATGTGTTTCCTTAAACTACATTCACATTTTAGAAATGTACATATCAAAATACTGCAAGCTGGTTCCAATTACAACGAAGTAAATTGGACTTCGGTTTCCCGTTGATCAGAAAAGCTTTGTGGAAGAGGTTTGCTATTCTCAAGTACCTCGTGCTTGAGAACAGATTTTTAAAAAAATAGTTTTATTATAATTCACAAACATAACAACTTTTACCCATGTAAAGTGTGTGTAGTTTTTAACATATTCAGTTATGTGCAACCATCACCACTGTCAATTTTAGAACATTTTTATCTTTAAAAAGAAACTGGTACCCTTTAGCAATTCCCACCCCACCCCACCAGCTCTGGGCAACCACTAATCTACTTTTTGTTTCTATAGATTTGTCTGTTCTGGGCATTTCTTAGAAATGTAATTATATAATATGTAGTCTTTTGTCGCTGGCTTTTTTTACTTTGCATAATGTTTTCAAGGTTCATCCATGTTGAAGCATGGATCAGAATTTCCTTTTTATGGCCAAATAATATTCCATTGTATGGATATACCACATTTGTTTATTTTTTTAGATGATAAGCATTTGGATTGTTTCCACCTTTTGGCTGGATAATCCCGCTATAAATATTTGTGCATAAGTTTTTATGTAGCCGTGTTTTCATTTCTCTTGGGTGTATACCTAGGAATGGAATTACTGGATTCTGTGGTAACTCCGTGTTTAGCCATTTGAAGAACTGAGGGGATTTTCCAAAGTGGCTATACCATTTTACATTCCCATCAGCAGGGGTGTGAGGGTCAGAACTGATTTTAAAGCAGAAGGCCAACATGATTGAAGTTTATCATATTTATATAATGTTAAGAGTACATTCTTTGTATTAGCTTGCAAAGTGTTTAATAAGCAACAAGAGTTAAACCACATTGGTCAAAGTGAACTGAAAGCAGACTTCATATTACATGTACATGAGTTGTTATAAGTGTTTTATAATACAAGAGTGTGGATACACTAACATTACAGGTAAGTGCAGAAAGCCAAGAACTGTTTTCAGAACATAGTCAAAAGTATACCGAACATGGGAGAATTGTTTTGACATTTTGCTCAAAACACAAACTATTTCTCAAGAAAATTCAATATTTCTTTCATGGAAAATTTTAAAAGGAGGTAAATACTACATACATATATATAAAAGTACTAGTAGAGGCGGGGCGTGGTAGCTCACGCCTGTAATCCTAGCACTCTGGGAGGCTGAGACAGGCGGATTGTTTGAACTCAGGAGTTCAAGACCAGCTTGAGCAAGAGTGAGACCCCGTCTCTACTAAAA